TGTGTCTCCTGCCCAGTGCCCCTCCTCCCTCCCCTCTTCCCCCTCCCCCTGCCCCACTGCCCCTCCTCCCTCCCTCTTCCCCCTCCCCCTGCCCCACTGCCCCTCCTCCCTCCCCTCTTCCCCCTCCCCCTGCCCCACTGCCCCTCCTCCCTCCCCTCTTCCCCCTCCCCCTGCCCCACTGCCCCTCCTCCCTCCCCTCTTCCCCCTCCCCCTGCCCCACTGCCCCTCCTCCCTCCCCTCTTCCCCCTCCCCCTGCCCCACTGCCCCTCCTCCCTCCCCTCTTTCCCCTTCTCCCTGCCCCATTACCCCTTCTTCCCTCCCCTCCCCCCACCCAGGCTCCCTTTGGCTATGGTGCCTGGCTCTTGTCGACTCAGGAGAGGCAGCTGGCACCCTAACCACCTGTAGCCTCTGGAACATGGTGGCCTGTGGGGCCAAGGTACCCAGCCAGGACCTCCTCCGAAAGCAGTCTGCCGTGTGCTCCTACACGCTCCTATACTCCAGGGCACGGGACAGCCTCTCTGACTGTCCTGACTGTCTAGCTATCACTGGGCCACTGGGCAAGGTGTGGAAGGGACGTTTCCAGAGTAAGGTATGGGGTTGCACCGGATGCTTTGGGAGCAGAGACCCTTCAGCGCCTCCTGACTCTGCCCTTTGGGAAACGCCCTTGCAGGAACAGGCTCAATGGAATCTCTGTTTGTGGGCCTTGCCAGGCAGGGGGGCCATGACTTGGTCTGGAAGCACCGGATGAGAGGCTGCTCATTCTCTGAGGCCCTTCAAGGAGGGGAGGAGTCAGACCTGAATGGCCACCAAACTCTTGCTGACAGCAAGAGGCAGGAAAGCGTGGGGCTGGTACCTACATTTTCCCTGAAGATGAAGGCCAGGATGGCTGCTGAGAGCTCCGCCAGGAAGATGATCAGGATGAACAGGAAGAACTGCAGGGAGAGGAGCAGGCTTGTGAGCTCAGAGGGCAGGCAGGGGACGGGGCGGTCACTGGCCAATGCATCCATCCATCTGTCCTACCAGTGATGCAGTATACTCATTTTGTAAGATAAGACACTTCACTGCTATCAGTCAGACATCTTCATAACAAACACACCAGGGATCCCTCCTTGGAGTCAACAGGATTGTGATAAAGATTGAAAAAAATAAACAAATATATACCTTCCATGCAAATGGTACATCTTAGAGAGGCCCCTTGTACAGTGTGCAGCCTGAACAACCCCACACAGCCACCCTGGAAGGAGATCGCTGATGAAACCTGTTTGAGCCCACTCTGGGTAAGCTTCCTTCCATATGGGTTGTATGGGCTGTGAGAATCCTGAGTGCTTTGGGGATCCCCATGTGGATTTCCCCACCCTGCCACCCCAGGGCCACCTCTCCCTGCCCCGTTGCCTCTGGTTCCCAAGGGAAGTGGGGAGGTCACGTTGACCTTCAGCCAAAATTCAAGGAACAAGATTGGAGGGAAGATGGTGTGACTGCCAGATCTCATACCCAGGGCCCAGGAGTTTGGTGTCTAACACGGTCTTTTGCTCCCCTCACTGACTTTGATGACCCTGAGTGAACCACAGTGCCTCTCATTCGGGGACCTCACAGGCTATGCTACCTTTGCCAGGAAGGCACTGCCCTTCCTTGCCCACCAGTTCCTCATTTCTCCAGATCGGGTGAAGCCTCAGCGCCTCTGCTGGTGAGAAGCCTTTCCTGACTTCCCTAAGCAAGGAGAACCTCCCTCTCCTGGGCTCCCCGACATCACAGTGCCCAACAGAGGTGCCTGCATGGCATTAGCATGGGGCTGTCCCTCAGTGCGCTGCCTGCCCGGATGCCTGGGTCAACACAGGTGTCGACACAGGACTCTTAGATGGATGAATGAGGCCGAGATGGCGCACTCGCCATGAAGGTCCTATGACCTGCTGCATCACCGGCCCAGGACATTGCGTGGGTTCCTTTGGGCCAAGAGCAGTCAACAGAAGAAACCGGCTTTGCCTTCATTACTCAGCACAGCTGGTGCCCTTGACGAAGTCCATGCTCACCCTACCTGGAAACCACCAGCAGAGGACTTGAACCCTAACACACACACAGACTGGTTCTTCCATGTCCTCCCAGGCACCTAGGCAGCGGCCAGACCTGCTTTCTGGGGTCCCAGTCCTCAGGACTGCCCGCTTGCCCCCGATGTGCCAGGCTGGAAGGAGGCAAAGGGTGCTGGGCTTCAAGTCAGGACACCTCAGTCCGCCTTGTCTGTCCTTGTGTGTCATGGGACAGTCACTCAAACCAACCCCTTCTAGCCTCAGTTTTCTTGCCAGCAAAATGGGAATGTCAAGACCCACTTCCGGGGGTCCTCGTGGGGAATCACAACGCATGTGAAAGCATTTCCTCTGTTGGAAATGAGCCCATGCAGAGCTTGGTGGTGGGCTCTCAGATGCAGAAGGGGAGTGAATGTGGGCCACGGGCAGCCTCCTCTGTGACCTCCGAGGCCCGGCTCCTGGCGACAACCGGCCTCCTCGCAGATGGTCTGCGGGCTGCTGAAAATACCTTCACACATCTCTCGCCTGGAATGCGCCGCTTTGGTCAGAGGAAGATTCCTGTCACTTTATCCCCATGCCAGGGAGACCTCAGTCCAATTCCTGCCCCGACTTTCAGTGCCCACAGCAGCGGCCTTCTAGAGGTCCCAGGGCTTCTCCAAACTGCGTGGGCAGGGTACCACCTGAGTGAGAGCCTTGGGAGGGGCGTAGAATCTGCCCATTCAGAACGTGCACAGAAAGCATCTCCGCAGCCTGGTAAGCGAGTTTTCATTTTGTAAATCTCTAAACCTAAGAAGAGCTGCTTGCATCAACAGAGCAGCCAGCCCGCGGCGGGGATGTGTCCGCCCTCAGCCCTGCCTTTTGCTGGCCAGCCTCTATCCCCAGCCACGTCATGTACTTCAGTGCTCGGAGGTACTGTGGGCTCCTGAGCCCCTGAGGACTGCCCGGGCTTCAGCTCCTCCATCACAGGCTTCTGCTGTCACGGGGGACGGCTGGGCGCTGGGTGCTGGTCCCACAGTCTGTTTTTTGTGTTGAGGAAGCTGAAGCGGGAGAAGGGAAATGGCTATTCCACAGGTGCAGAGCTCTTCGGAGCTTTGCAGAGAGCACCTGCTCCTCCTGGCCCAGCTGGCTTTTTAGAGTGCCAGGCTACATCTCCTCCCTGACGCAGGGCGAGGCTCGGGAACTGCTCTGTTACTCTCTTCTGAGCCCAGGAGTCTGTCCCCACGGGTCAGCGGGCCGCCTGGCTGGGGTCTGCCGGGTGGCCTGCCTGACACATCTGGACGAGGGACACCAGGCCAGATGCTCCTGTGCTTCCTGAAGACAGGGTGACCTCGGGCTGAGGCCAGGGAGCCGAGTTCCCAAACCAGAGCAGAATGTGATGAGGGCAGTCCGAGGTGGCCTCCCGTGCCCTGGGTCACAACGCCCACGGTCCACCCTGCTGCTCCTACAATTCTCATTTCCAGGAGGCTGGGGGGCTCTGGGCTCAGTGGCTGCTGAGTGATTCATTTTCTGCCTCTGCAGCCTCACCTCCTCTGTGACAGTGACGGAGGCTTCTGGCAGGGGTCCTGGCACTTCCATTTGGCTGGTGATGGATGGTCATCCGCTTCCATTACACGAGGCCTCTACGAGGAGCCCCTCCCTGCCCTCTGCCCTCTCATTGGAGCCACTGGCAGGCTCCCAGGCTGGCAAGGAGCAGCCTCAGCAATGGTCTCCATCCACGGCGATAAGCTGGAGCTGGCATGCCCACCAGCGTCGGCCGGGACAGTCATAAATAATGGACGAAGCAGATCGTGAGCCTCATGCACTCCATGTGCCTGTCACTGTTGGACGTGCGTGTGCCATCCAGGATGACTGAGCATGGGTTCGCGATATAATGCAGGTGCCATGCTTCCCACAAGACTGGCAGGACAGGAGAGCCGCTCAGATGGTGACTCAGAGCCCAGAGGAAGCATCCCACCAACAGAGCCAAGCAAAGCATGCATTTTCCACTGGATTGTGAGTGCAAAACTATGGCTGGGAAGGAAGTATTAGTGTCCTCATTTTGTATACCAGGAATCTAAGGTTCAGAGTGTTAAGGAACCAGCCCCAGGTCCCACAGCCAGGAAGTGGCCAAGCAGGAGTTCGAGCCTGGGCTTTTCTGACTCCAAAGTCCATGCTCTTAGCCACAACTCTGACACCACCTCCTCTCTGTTCCTTGGCTCTGAGGCTGCTTATTTCACACCTGCTCTGTGCCAGGTACCGTACTAGGTATTGGCAAATAAATACGTACAAGGCAGACTCAGTCCCCATCTTCATGGAGTTCCCAGTGAGCTGAAGCATCAATAGAATGATGATGAGGAGGTGAGCCTGGTGGATGGGTCTTCTCTTCTCTAAGAGGTGCTAGACTCGGAGATTAAACCTGGGGAGCTGTGGACTGGAGGAAGTGGGCCTCCCCAAGCACAGGGCCCGGGCGGGACTTGACTATTTGGGAGTGTGAATCCTGGGAATCAGAGTGCAAGGCCACTGTGCCCGCAGCAGGTACAGTGCCACTTGCGCCAGCTCGCCCTTCTCCAGCATGAAAATGTCCTCCTGTTGGGAGGCCGAGGCGGGTGGATCACGAGGTCGAGAGATCGAGACCATCCTGGTCAACATGGTGAAACCCCGTCTCTACTAAAAGTGCAAAAAATTAGCTGGGCATGGTGGCGCGTGCCTGTAATCCCAGCTACTCAGGAGGCTGAGGCAGGAGAATTGCCTGAGCCCAGGAGGTGGAGGTTGCGGTGAGCCGAGATCGCGCCATTGCACTCCAGCCTGGGTAACAAGAGCGAAACTCCGTCTCAAAAAAAAAAAAAAAAAAAAAAAAAAAAAAAAGAAAATGTCCTCCTGCTTAAGACGGTTCACCAGTGTTCAAGTCCTCTGGGGAATTCCCCTGGACCAGCCATGGCTGGGGCTTCCTTGTCAAGGCCCTTCCCACGGTTCACAACCCATTTGCCTGAGGACTCAGCTGTCGGCCAGTCCTCAGCCTCTAATTTGCATCACTTTTCTCAGGATGGAAAATCAGCAAAGGGGAGGAAAGTGTGACGTTGGCTGCTTGGGAGGATTTCCAGGTTTTTTAACCCATCTGCTTATAGGCAATGTCTGCTCACAGTTCCCATTTCTAATAAATATTTACCAAATTTACACACTGCATGTACAATTCAGCTCATTTATCTTTTTTGAACATACTCATCTCTTTTTGCTGTTCTTTTTTTTTCCAGTGTAGCTTGCCTTCATTGTAAAATATTTTTAAAATTAGGATTTTTATATAAGCTGTCTTTTAAAAAATCCTTCAAATACTCAAAGGTAAGCAAATGGGAAAAAGGGATGCCACACATTTTCAATGGTAGGCTGAAATTGTCCTAGTGCATGTGAGTGCAATGATACTGATCAACACAAGTATTTGGGAAATTGATCTTTAGACAGACAAATTGATCATTAGGTGGTCTGGTCATTAGACTGATTGTCCCCAGGTCCTGTGGGACTTCAGTCTCAGAGCAGAAGGAAGGGGACACTCAGCCTCATGTCAAGGCCTCCTTGCTTTGCGAATCTTTAAGCCAGGTTTCTTAGGGTAACTAAAGTCATTCTTTGGCCCCGCTTAAGACAAGCCTCTCTCCCTTTCGACAGGCTGAGAAGGCAGTGAAAGGCTTCTAGAAGGATCGCAGAAGCTGCCAGGGGTGAGACTCCATGCCCTCTTTGGTTGGAACCACCATACAGTTAGGTCCAGGTTCAGCCAGGAAGGGAGAAGTGGCTTTTCTTATTTTTTAGGGCATAAACCTTTCTGAAAACCTTCCGGAAACTTTGGTGCCTTTCTCTGGAAACACTCACAGAACCCCCCTAACCCCCATGCACACAACACACACGCATGTGTAACACCCACGCATGTGTAATACCCATGCACGTACAACACCCACACACGCACAACACCCCCACACACAACACCCACACATGCACAATACCCACACATGCACAACACCTACACACACAGCACCCACACATGCACAACACCCATGCACATACAACACCCACGCACATCTTAACACCATGCATGCACAACACAACACCCACGCAGGTGTAACACCCATGCATGCACAACACCCACACACATGCAACACCCACACACGTGTAACACCCATGCATACACAACACCCACACACATACAATACTCACGTACGTGTAACACCCATGCAAGCACAACACCCACACACATGCAACACCCATGCATATGTGTAACACCCATGCAAGCACAACACCCATGCATACAACACCCACGCACACACAACACACACGCATGTGTAACACCCACGCACATACAACACCCACGCATGTGCAACACCCATGCATGCACAACACCAACACACATACAATACCCATGTACATGTAACACCCATGCAAGCACAACACCCACACACATGCAACACCCACGCATGTGTAACACCCATGCAAGCACAACACCCATGCACATACAACACCCACGCACACACAACACCCACACATGCACAACACACATGCATGTGTAACACCCACACACATACAACACCCACGCACGTGCAACACCCATGCATGCACAACACCCACACACATACAATACCCACGCATGTGTAACACCCATGCAAGGACAACACCCATGCACATACAACACCCGCACACACACAACACACACGCATGTGTAACACCCACGCACATACAACACCCACGCATGTGCAACACCTATGCATGCACAACACCCACACACGTGTAACACCCATGCATGCACAACACCCATGCACGTGTGCATGTGCACAAAGCAGTGCACACATGTACACATAAGCACACACGATGGAACACAACATACACACACATACAACACACATGCACATATACATAAGTATGCACACAATCCATGTAGATACAATACACACACACAGGCCCGGACCTAACATTTTGCACATAAATTTAGGTAAATCTTGAACTGAGTCCATTCCAGGAGCCTCTAGACAGCCCTTGTCTGGAAGCCAGAAGACCCTGATCCAAGTGTTCTCTGCCTGTGACCCACACTGTGACCTCAGGCTTGTGTGGGCAGGGCCTCAGAGAGGGGAAGCCGAGCAAGGGGAGTGGAGAGAGAGACAGGGAAATGGGGGAGGGAGAGATCGGGACGGGGACAAGGAAAGGGCATAGGAATAAACACAGAGGTCAAGAGAAAGACAAGGACAAGTGTATGGTGCCTGCATGTAATCCCAACATTTTGGGAGGCTGAGGTGGGCGGATTACTTGAGCCCAGGAGTTCAAGACCAGCCTGAGCAACATGGCAAAAGCCTATCTCTACAAAAATACAAACATTAGCTGGGTGTGGTGATGTATGCCTGTGGGCCCAGCTACTCAGAGGGCTGAGGTGGGAGGATCACTTGAGCCTAGGAGGTTGAGGCTGCAGTGAGCCAAGATCACACCGTGGCACTCCAGCCTGGGCCACAGACCAAGAGCCTGTCTAAAAAAAGAAAGAAGGAAAGAAAGAGAGAAAGAGAAAGAAAGAAAGAGAAGGAGGACAGAGGCAGAGGGAAGGGGGACAGGGAGAGAGACGGGGGCAGGGAGGGGAGGGGAGGGGTCTACCATCAGGCCTTGAAGGAAGGATCAGCTCTCTCGGGAGGACTGTGGACACATCTCCTGTCCCTGGGTCTCAGTCCTGCCTCCCACAGCATGGGAGGGAGGACGTCCTCCGGCCGCTGGCAGGTTTGCAGGCAGCCACTTACCGGAGGAGGCTGGAGAGCCAGAGCCGCCCCGGCCTGCTCCCAGCCAAGAACACCAGCCTGGCTTCCTGTCTTGGCTTCAAAGACGAGATCATTAACAATGAATGAACCCCTGGGGGCCGAGGTGAGGAGGGGGAAAGGGAGGCTGGGTGTGTCCTGGGACCCATATTCCAGCTCCTTTTAAAGTCCCCTCGGGCTCGCTCCCCAGCCGAGACTTCTGCAAGCACCGTGACAAGCAGTAGAGAACTGTCCACCAGGGGGCGCTCACAGCGTTTCTTTGTTTCTCTCCAAATGAGGTCTGCAGCGTTGGCGCTGTTGAAGGACAAATGGGCCCAAGGCTCCCTGTCACTCATTTCGCAGCTGACTTCACTTTCTCTGGATGGGGGCATCTCACTCGGACACGAATGGGGCTGTGCAGCGTGCTCTCGTCTGGGGAGGAGGCATGATGCCCGGTCTCTCTTCCCAGCACTGCTGGTGCTGGTGTACCTACAGAACCTCGCGCGGCAGCCCTCCAGCCGACCTGCCCAGGTCTCCCTGCCATTCAGCTCCGCCCACAAGGAGCATCGGCAAGCTGACCCAGCCACATGCACACTTCTCTGAACAGGGTTTTAACTTACCCTGCAGCGGGACTGGGCTCAGCCCAGAAGTTCTCCAAGTCTAGGACCTCTTAGAGGGGCGGAGAGCCATCCGCCCAGCCCAGGAAAGCAGGCAGAGGCCCTACGTGCCACCGCCCTGGGGAATCCAGAAGACTAGAGAACCAGCACCACCATTGTTTGTCTGGTCTGGCTGTGATCCAGAGCTGAGCTGATCGGCCCCGTCTTTAGCAGAAGACACGGCTGCTCAGGGAGGTCGAGGAACGAGGCTGGAGCCGCACCCTTGGAGGATGGAGCAGGGAGTCCACTCCGAACAGGCCCACCCCCTGCCCAGCTCAGGCCCACGGCTTGACCGCCTGCCCTGTGCCTGTTTTGAGAGATACGACCTTGGCCTCCAGCACCCAGTGCACCTCCAGCACCCAGTGTACTCCAGGCCCATATAGGAGCTCAAGGACTATTTACTTAAAGAACAAGAAACCTTCAGAGGGCATATCATACCTATTTCGGAATCGGATATCTACAAGGGGAAGGCCTCATCAACTAGCCATTTCAGGGATATTACTGAGGAGTTACATAGTTTTTAAAAGCAAGCAAGTAGAAAACCAGCAAGGTCCATGTCAGCGAACTCAGTTGACCATGCCTTGGAGAAGCCTGGCTGTTCAGACCTGGACACCAAGGCCCCCTCCACCCGGGCCAGCTCATCTACTGCAGTGATGGGCCCCGTACAAAAGCAGGCTCTGGAAGCTGGGGCTACCAAGGCAAACGGAAAAGGCTGGGGACCGCCCCACCCCTGGAGGTGGGTTCCTGTGGCTCAGACCTCGTTCTGAGTTTCCTGGCATGCGGACACAGGCCAGGTGTGCCTTGAGCGAAGGGCCCTGGCTTGACTGGAGGCAGGCAGCAGAGTGAAGTGGGAGACAGGAAGGGTGGCCCCAGGGAGAAAACAGTCCCACAGGCATGGGGAGAGGCAGCCTGAGGCGCTGCAGGGGCCCTGGCCCAGCATCTGTTTTATCCCCTCCGCCCCCAAATCCCATGAGACTCCGGGCTAGTCGCTGAACGTCTCAGGGCTTCAGGACCACTGACTCCAGAATGAGTAGGGTCGGATCGTCTCCATGATCCCTTCTGCTTTGACAGCCCCTGGTTTGGGAATTACTGGTCTGAATGAAAGCCAGCCAGGGCCTGAGAGTCCGCAGCCGATCCCCGACACCCCTCAATGCACCCATGGGTGGGGTGGGGGCTGGGGTACTCACAAATAGCAGCAGACACTTGTTCTCACGGACGGCCCCGCAGCAGCCCAGGAAGCCGAGCAGGAAGAGCAGGCCCCCCATGGCCAGGAGGATGTAGGCGCCCGTGAGGAGCAGGGGGTTGGCAGCCACGATCTCCCGGAAGCCGGTGGGGTCCACCATGACCCAGATGCCGATGGCCAGCAGGCAGGCCCCACCCAGCTGCTCGGGCCAGGGGAGGAGTCGAGAGGAGAAACAGGCAGAAAGGGAGGTCAGGCACTCCTGACCCAGCACGCCCAGAGCCAGCCCCAGGGTCGGGGGCGTCAAGCACTAGGTGAGCTGGGCAGGAGTTCATCTGCAGTGAGAGCCAGTGGGTCCCAGCTGCGCCTTGAATTGTTTTGAATTTTTCTGATTGCCGTGATCTTAAGTGTAAGACATATCCTCTACATCCAATTTCTGACCTAGGCTCCACCTTGGCCTACTGAAGAACGCACACATCATATACAGGTTATTTTATCTTCTCCTGAAATGTCAGACCTGTAGATGAGGAGACCATCTAGCCCAACCCTCTGATTCCACACAGAGAGGGCCAGCAACTTACCGAAGGTCACACAACAAGTTCATGGCAGAGTCAGGGCTCCATCCCAGGTCCTTAAACAAAGGTCCACGAACATGCCCTGAGTGAGCCCTATGCTGTGTTCGCACCACCCATGCTAGGGGCTGGGAAAACACAGACGACGTCATCGTCACTGTCCCCCATGGGACTCTCAGTGAGGTTCCAACCTGAGAGTGGGCTCCCCACTCTCCAATCCATGGCTCAAAAGCCTTCGGATTTATGTCTCCATCAACATGGGTTCTCCATGCCTTATTTATCTTTGGAAAGAGGCAGTGTAGTCTAGAGAGAGAGAGCTGTGCCACTTAATAGCTGTGTGACCTAAGGCAAGTGGCATAACCTCTCTGAGCCTTTTAGCTTCCTTGTGGTCAAACAAAGACTCAAATACTCACAGGCTAAGGCAGCCCCAGGGAAGAAAGGACAGAAGGCGTTTAGCAGATTGCAATAAATATCGGTTCTATTTTTCTTTTCTTTTTTTTCAGGCAGAGTTTTGCTCTGTCACCCAGGCTGGAGTGCAGCGGTGGGATCATGGCTCACTGCAGCCTTGACCTCCCGGGCTCAAGTCATCCTCCCACTTCAGCCTCCCAAGTAACTGGGACCACAGGCACATGCCACCACCCCTGGCTAATTTTTGTACTTTTCTGTAGAGACTGAGTTTTGCCATGTTGCCTAGGTTCGTCTCAAACTCGTGGGCTCAAGTGATCCACCTGCCTTGACCTCCCAAACTGTTGGGATTACAGGTGGGAGCCACAATGCCCCGCCTATTCCATTTTTCCTAGGCACGGATAAGTATTAGAAGTTTGGCACTGTGGGATTTAGGGCTGTAAAGTATCTGAAATCCCTTTGTGCGGCGGGAGGACCGGAGGCCCCCAGAGGCCTGTGTGAGGGTCGACGGTCGGGCGACAGGAAAACTGCTGGGCTTTGGCTTGGCTGAGCAGGACCGCGTGCTGAAGAGAGCTGATGGCTTTGGGCAAGGGGCATTTGTAGGTGCCCTTAGGGCAGGAGTCCAGTGGCAAGGCCTGAGGGACCCAGCAGGGGAAAGAGCAGGAAAGGCCCAACAGGAGTGGCCAGCGACAGAGTTTCCGTTCTTGCCACCTGCCGTGCTGGGTCTCTCCCTGGTCTCCCAGAATGACTCAGGAAAACCGGCACCTCCTTATTGCTGCTGGAGATCTTGGGATTCCGCAACTGTACACTAAACGCTTCAAGGACGGTCCCGCTCCATTTCGGGTGGGAACGCTGGGGCTGGAGGGAGGGTGAGCTTGCGCGGGGTCACCCGGCTTGGCAGGTGGTGGCCTTGGGTCTAGAATTCAAGTCTGCAAGGCTCGAGGCATTTTAGGATTATAAGGCAGGGAAGAGAAGCTGAGGGAGTTGCTGAAATGTGTATTTTTAAAAAAGACACAAAGGTATAGAGATAGCGATAGACAGAGAGGGAAAGACAGACAGACAGAAATAGACGGTCAGTCCCGGCCAGAAAGACGACTCCCTCTTTCAAGAGCCTGCCCTGAAGGACGCAAGTAGAGGCTGATTCAACAGGTCTTAGATGTACCCAGATCAAGGGCTGAGGCTGGACCAGGAAAGCCTGTGGGGGTCCAAGAAGCTGGGGCCATGGCTCCACTCCTGGGAGGGGCCACGAGTCTGAGCAGAGCCTGGGGTGGGCTCAGCAGGCAGGTGGGCCACCTGAGTGTCTGGGCCTGTGTCCCTTCATATACAGAATCCGTAGGTCAGATGGAAACGGAGCTAAGCTCTGGAGGACGGACCACATCCCGGTCACTTTGTAAACTAATCTTAATTTTCAAAAAGCCTGTTGAGGTAGGTCATTAGAGGTGAAGATACTGAGGTTCAGAGAGGTGACCTGTGTCCCAAACCAGAAGCTGCTAGGATGTAGCACTGGGGGCTAAATGCAGGTCTTCCAGGCCCAGAGGAGTTTCTGATTAGATCCAGTGGCTGCATGGACTTGGCCCCTCCAGCTCTGAAGTCTGTCTACTGCTCGTGGAGACAAGGTTGGTTGGGGCTCCCTCTTGTTGCCCTCTGATCACCCCCATCCCCTCCTTTCCCACTCCCCATGAGGGGTCAGATCCCAAGACAGTGGCCGGACCTAAGGTCCCCTCCACCTTTGTTAGAGAGGCTGACCACCCCGCAGCCTGTGTAAAATGTCTCTCCTAAGAAGGTCAGCTCTTCAGAGTGGGGTGGGCACTGCTGGGGGCTCCCTTCCCTGAAAGCCTGGCTGGCAGGTACCCCTCCCTCTAGCGCTGGCCCCTGTGCTCACCCCAAGGACTCGGCCCAGTGTGACTATTTCAAAGCAGCAGCCAGTTCTGCCCTCCCAGCAGAGGTCTGGGAAGACCCAGCAATACTTACAAATATGAAGAAATTGAAAACAAACATCAGATACTTCATGCAGCTCAGACAGTCGCCTTCCATGATGTTCCACCTAAAAACACAAGGCCACCTCAGTCCTCCCAATAGGGGAACCCACCCAGGAAGAACCCCAGCCCTCCCTAGAGGGTCCCGGCAGCCAGCTCCACCCTTGCAAAGGCTGGAAAAAAAAATGAGGCCGATCGTGGAGATGAGAACACTGGATCTGGCCTGTCTGGGTTGCAATCCTGGCTCTAGCTTTCATTTGCTGTGTGATCTTGGGCAAATTACTCCACCTCTCTGGGTGTTGCTCTCTCCAACTTGAAAGCAAAGATTAAGAACAGAACCTTCCTCCTGGCAGTGCTGCGAAAATGAAATGAAATCCCACAGTAACAGGCTCGGCACATCGCTGGGCACGTGGTGAGTGCTCAGCCGTCCCGCTTCACGCTGTTGCTCTGCTGCAGGTGGGAGCTGGCCATTTGATAGATGAGAAAACCGAGGCTCAAAGCGGGAGGGCCTTGCCAGGGCCCCAGACCAGGACCAGAAGCCGCACCTGACAAACCATCCCACACACCCTCCGGCCACAGAACAGACCAGGGTGGTTGCTTGGTGCCAGTGAGACGGGGTGTTGCAGGGAAGAGAAAAGCAGCCTACCGGGGGTCTGAACCCTGCTTCTCGGGCCAAAGCCTCCCTGAGCCTCGGCGACCTGTATCGCGAGACCTCCAGCATCCCACGTCCCCCGGGGCCTTTCCTGCCTTCACCTAAAAGTATACCCACGGCAGCAAGTCATTGAACACGATTCTTCAGCCAACGCTAATTGAGCATCCGAGGCTTGCCAGGCATGGCCGGGGCTGGACAGAAATGCAAACGTCCCCCTCCCCTGGGAAGGCTGACAGCATCTGCCACCATGAGTCAGATTTCAAGGTGCACAAGACATGTTTACATTCCATAGTCATTATTTTCACATTTTCTTCCTGCCAGCCCTGGGGAGAGATTCGGGACAGGGATGAGAGAGCCATGTGACAGGTGGGGAAACCGAGACAACAAATGACAGCGACACATCCGGTGTCCCACAGCTAGGAAGGGGCAGGGCCAGGACGCAAGCCAGTCCCGAGCTGCCAGCACTGCAGGCACTTTGCCAGGGCCAGGGGTTGTCCCTCCATGACAGGACTCGGCGCAAAGGGGTCTGGGAGTACGCACTTGGGGTGTAGACGGGTGTGGGGGAGATGGTGCCTGATTACTTTCTGCAGCTCCCACTTTTCACACAGGACATGGCTGAACTCCATCTTCCTCCACAAAATAGGGTTGCTAAGTCTTACTCAAAGGGTTTCTGGGAGGCTTATTATTATTAATATTAATAATGGTAAATTGTAGCAAAACATCACATTAGACTCCATAAACATATAAAAAAATCATTATTTGTCAATTTGTAACAAAGTTGGGGAAATAGTAATAATCGTAGCCACTGTTTGGGGATCAAGCGCTGTGCCCAGGGCTTTGCACATATTATCTCATTTAATCCTTGCAACCACCAAGGAGGTATGCACTCTGATTACCACGAATCCTTCCATCAGCCCAGCCCTCAGAGAGGTTAAGAGATTTGTCCAAGGTCACAGAGCTTGTAGAAAACAGTGACAAGGCCCATGGCACATAATGGGGCCTCAGCAACTCTGTCCCCTCCCCGCCCCAAACCACAATCCAACACTCTCCTCAGCAGCCAGGCTGGCACCCTCATATCATAAGGAACAGACGGAGCAGAGGGTACCTGCCTCTCCCCTGCCCGGCCGCCCCACCCTTCTCCTAAGTGGTGATGACAGCAGCACCCCAGGCTGCATTTTGGTCTGAGCTGGAGTTTTTCTGTAGGCGCATTTGAATCCGTGGAGAGAGGAGCACAGACAGAGCCAGCTGGTGGCCAGGGGACCGGGAAAGGTTCCTGGTCTCAGGAGTGGCACCTCACATCCCTCCTCTCACTGTTTCTGCCAAGGTACTAGCTGTCTGTCCACCAGCCGACCTTGGCCAGGCAGACATAGCTAAGGCGCCTGGAGCCCGTGAGGAAGGCCTGACAGGCACACTGGCCTTGGATTCAGCACTGACCCTGGGGCCGGAGGGCCTTCCTCCTCCCTAAAGGGACGCCTCCTCCCTGCTGCTCCACTGGCCCTTATTGCAACTTGGAAAAGTGCTGAGCAGGGGAAGAACAGGTGGGGCCACTCAGCTTCAAAGCCGGGAGGGGAAGACACTCAGAGCCTACCTGGGACATCCTCCTTCTTACCAGGAGGGAGAAACCGAGGCACCAAGTTAGCTGGTGAAGAACGCAAGGCCATTCAAAGGGAAAAATCTTAGGGTGAGCCTGACTCAGGGGCTCCAGGCTCCAAGCCTTTGTCCTTCTAACAGTGCCCCGAGGGCTTCTCTTCAATTGTGCTGGGGGAAGGGAAAATCAGGGTTTTCCTGTGGTCACCCACCCAAGTCTCCACCCCTACAAATAATACTATTTATTGAGCATTTACTATGTGCTGGCTCCGTCCTAATACTTTACATTTACTAACTCATAACAACCCATGAGATTAGTACTCTTATTATCCTCATTTTCTAGAGGTGGAAACTGGGTCAGATGGAAGCGAGGTGACTTGTCTGAGGTCATAGGCTAGTGAGTGGTGAAGCCAAAACTGGAACCCAGGCAGTGCGATGGGGCGTTTTTCTTTACTTCAGTGAGCATGGCCTGAATTCATGACATGCCATCTGCCTTTGGAGGTAGAATCGGATGACACCATGCTCTCTATTGCCGGGGTCTCTGAAACTTCAGCCGCAGCCCTGCTCCTGGCCTTCTCTCTCATCCAGACACGGCCGCCGCCTCTGGGCTGAGACTGGCGTCCATACCTCCCCTTCAATCAAGTGCTTCCCTGCTGCCAGAAGGATCTTTCCACAAAGCACATGGAAAAGCACACAGCCCTCTCTTACAGAAAACCCGACGGCTACAGGACACCAAGCTGCCTCCTCCGGACCACGGGACCTCCAAGACACCCCATGGCCCCCTCTTGTTACTGCTGCCGTCACTTTCCAATCACCACCCTCAAAGCAGAGTCCCCTGGAGGTATCTTCCTGAGGCTCCTTGCTGCCTTTGCTCATGCTGATCCCTTCTCTTTCAATTGCCCTTCCACCTACTTCCAGTCTCACTTAATTCCTATTCATCCTTTAAGACTCGTCACAGGCATCACCTCTTCCAGGAAGCCTTCCCGATTGTCCCCTCCTGTCCCCATCAAGCCATGCTCAGTGCCTTCCCTAGTATAATATTCCACGGCCTCTGTTGATGTCCACTGCTGCCCCCACCAAAATATATACCATTACATCACCGACCAGTGATTCCTGGTGGATCCCAGAGGAGCATAACTGTGGCTGTGCCCTCCTGGGACACAGTAGGGATTGTCCATGGTTCCACATAGGGAGTGTTCATTCAGCAGTGTGTGCGGGAGGCCTGGTGCTGGGCTAAGGCATGCTTCCGGGCGTTTGTAGCCTCCTCGCCCTCAATAGCTGGAAAGTGGAGCCACACAGATTCCAACCCCCAGCCACAGCTCTCTTGTGCTCCCTCTCCTCTCTCTGTCGTGCCCTCTCCTGGGTGAGGACAGCTGAGGACAGGGCCCTCTGAATGCCCTGCTTGCTCGCCCTTCGCTCCAGACCTTCCTGAGGCCGGAAAGCCTCGAGCTGCATGGGAAGGGAGGCCCCAGGAGAACGTATCCCTTCCTTTGCTCCAGGCCCTGCCCTCCCAGAGGCCAGTGGGCAGAGCCTGCAGCAGGACAGAGGGACCCTCTACCCTCACTGGTCCTCAGTGGGGATCCATAGGGATGGCCATCCTGTCTGGCCAGTATCTCTTCTGGTCGGTTCACGCCAGTGATTCCTGGTTGTTCAGCATCTTGGCCATCATCCCTGACTGTGGGGACTTTACCCTTCCCTCATCACCAAGGCCAGGCTCTCTTCCTGCAGAACATCCCCCAGGGTACCATTTCCAGCCTGCCAGCCATGTCCCTCCTATCATCCCTGACTTTCTAGAAGGAGCATCTAACCTGCATCTAACCACAGCATGGTCCTAAGCTTGGACTCTGAAGTCAGACACACCTGGGTTCGAATCCCAGCCCGTCACCTTTTCTACCTCTGTGTCTTTGGGCAAGTGACTTAGCCTCTTGGAACCTCCGTTTCTTCATCTATAAAATGTCCAGTGTAAAGGGCCCCCTGCTGTCCTGCACAGAGCACGGTGGACAGCTCGTATCACGTCCACACCTAACTCTGCCTTCATAGGTTACTTATTGGCCTGCTGTTCCCTTAGATCAGAAACCCAGGACAGTGCCTTGCACCCTGGAGCCTTTCTCTTCTGGCCCATCTCTCCTTGCAGCTCTTGGCTGACTTCAGCTCCATGCATTTCAGACGCCCTGTGCCCTTTGGAAAGGGAAAAGAGGTCTGAACATTTATTGAGCACTGACTCATGGCTAGTCGCGTGCCAGCTCCACAGAACGGACTGCTTTGAATCTCTCCAGGAAGTCCATAAAGCAGGACGTAATATGCCCACTTTACAGATGAGGATACTGAGGCTCAGAGAGGTCAAGTAACCTGCCCAGTATCACATGGCGTGTATGGACAGACTGGGCTTCACCACTCACCCAACTCCAGATCCTGCGCTCTACCTGATCCAGGAGCAGATGTTCAAGCAGAGAGTTAGGTACAAGGAACACTGGCCTAGGAGTCTGGAGCCCTGGCTCCTGCTCTCTAAGTCACTGCTGTGTGACCTTGGGCAAATCACTTTCTCTCTCTGGCCTCAGCGTCTTCATGTGTCAAATGGCAGAGCAGGAATCTGACGGCTTGACTGCTTCTTCTGTCAGGCCATGATGGATGAACGGCCTTTGGAGGCAGAGCAGCCTGTGTGGGAGGCCAGGCTCTACCGTCCCTCCCTCTGCCCAGCCAGGTGGAGCTTCTCTCCAGGGTAGGATCCAGCTTCAGCCAGCTCTGGCTCTTTAGCAATTAAGGAGTGTAATAAATACGGCAGCTCATAAACGGGCTACCTGTGTTTATTGCGTACCACATTCACTGTAG